GGTGAGTAGCATATTTTAAAAAAAGAACGTTTAAGGTTGTTTTAAGGACAGGACAGGAGACAGGAGCAATTGTCAAACTTTTGGTGTCGATCATTCGATTTCATCCTGGACACTACAGAAAATGGGCTTAAAGTGTAAAAAACCGAACTTCTCCTTTAAAGGTATGGGCAGACTCTGGTATGGACAAACTTTACTGTCTTTACCTTGGGGATGAATTTGAGCAGAGACTGAGAGACAGGCCTTCTCGTCCAACATCACTGTGACCTTACAAATGCGCTTCTGGAAGAGCAGTCAAAAATTCCAATAAACACAGAATCAAATCTTGAAAGCAGTCAAGATTTGAAAGCAGTATATAATGCTTCTTTTAACCAGCAAGTGTTTAAAGCAATAACCATTTTGCAGTTTAAAGCCCTTCTAAAGGGCAGCAGTAACTTTCTGCTGGACAAAGATCAAATCAGCAGTCTACTCCATAATTGTAACATTTCTGTGTTAAAATGTATTTTATTTGTCTTATTTAATCTTTTAGAAAGTGAATTCAAAGTTTTGAGTAGTAAGCCTAGTAAGAGAATCATTAATCAAATAACAAAATCATCGCAATACCATCTAGACTTAATATATGAATGGAAGATTTTGCACAGTTTACTTAAATAGATCTACTTTAAGGTTATATTCGCATTTTTTAGATGCATCTGTTTAGGGTAAACTTAAAAAAAGAAAAAAAAAAGTAATAATGCATTGAAACCGAAAGTGGGTTGTCCAAACTAACGAAAAAAACAAAACAAAAACCCAGTAGTTGTGTCACAGTGTTTTATCACATTCCTCAAAGGTTTCATGACTTCCTTCGCACCGCCTACAAGATCATGAGGAAAACTCACCGATCAAGAATTTCAGCCAAACTGAAACAGCTCACCTGTCAGCCCGGCAGAAAGAGAGGAGCGACGGGAAAAGCAGACACCTCAGCCTCAGATCCGGGGAAAACTCACCCCTTACTTTATTTTTATTTTTACTGAAAATAGAAATTCATTTTTTTTTTTGTTTTGTTGTCAGAGAGAAAACTTTTCTTTTTGATCCAGGAGTGAGACGCTCACATTCCAACAATAGGGCGTCTTTGTTTTCCAGAGTTTGTTTGTCAGAGTTTGACAGGCGCTTCCGGGTGTCCGAATGGACAGCATGAAACCCCAGGAGATGGAAATGAATAACCTTGGAAATAATCACGAAAAGGTAAGTCGACGAAAGAAAAAGTTTCTTAAATTACAATCAGCAAAAAAACTCATATATTATTATATATACGTGTCTTTAAGAAATGACATATAAAGGCCTATATTTAAGCTTTATAAGGTTATTGTTTGAGTGACATGCAGACGCGCTGTGTGCGTAATTGCGCGCGTTTGGAAGGTGTGGCATCAGTTAGAGCCTGCATTGACATGTCCAACATTCCTATGGAAGCAAATCGTCACCATATTTCAAAAGAAAAAGCATTTTCAGTTTCATGTGGCTGCATTGTTTGACTCATACATGAAATTAGTAATCAGTCATCCTGTTTGCATTTTCATTTTCTTCTTTAACACTGGTCATCCTTTTACTTAATTCAATTGAAAAAGAAAAAGACATTTCCGATTTATTTTTCAAAATGTACCCCAGCAAATACATACCAAAATTCAATTTGAAATGTAAAAATTTGAAAATGAAAAAGCATTTCCAGAAATTCTTTTTCATTTTAGGAATGTGGCTGCATTATTTGAATAAATAAAATTAATAATCAATTATCCTATTTGCATTTGCTCCTTTAAAACTGCACATTTTATGCCATAATAAAAGAGAAAACACTGCGGACATTGCTTTTTCATTTTCATGCTCTGCCAGCAGAGTACTGTCCATAACTCGAAATTGAAAAAGAATTCTGAGCGGCGGGTACATCAGAGTGACATCAACAGCTGTTCTTCCTCAGGTCCTTGCTGACCGGGCTACCCATCTTGTTCGGTAGGGGGCGCTGTGCACGTCTGCATTGCATTACATTTTAAGCGTGCCGGCGGGCGCTAGGTTGGGTTGCAGGTGCTGATGTTGGGTCCAGGGGCAGATTTAGGAGATTTGGGGCCCTAGGCAAAGACAGTCAGGGGGGCCCTCTGAATTGGGAAGACAACACATTAAGCAGATCCATTATACAGATACAAATACTTTAATAGACATACGTTATTTGTTCTACATTTTGTCCCTCCCATCTTGTCCCTTTTCCTCTCTATGTTTTGCGCTCAGCTGAAGTTTTCATGCTGTCTCAAAAGGAATTAAAGATTCAAGAGTCAAAGTATTTTTAATATTCCATGCTTTCTGTAATTTAAAAGCTTAGTTTAATTGATTAATTTAAAGTTGTAACTTCATGAGCATGCAGTTGGCAGTTGTTAGCTTGCACGACCCATGTAGCGAGGCCTTAGTCCTCGACGCGGCCGACTCAGGTTCGAATCTGTCCTGTGGTCTGTCCTGTGGTCCTTTGCCGCATGTCTCTCCACCTCTGTCATATCCCCTTTCTTGTGAGCCTACTTTCAAAAAAACAAGCCACTAGTATCACGGTTTGGTTGTGGTTAGTGGACCCAAATGCAGAGGCTGAGAGGCAGGGGTGAGTTCTTGCAGTTTCTTTAATGAGTAAACACAGGAAACAGAGGCAGGAATCCAAAAATCCAAATTAAAAATGTAAAACCAGAACCATGGAGACATCAGGGAAAACAATCACAAGGAGTCGGGGTGAGACAAGGTAAGGTGAGGTGAGACGAGGAACCAGCACTGAGGAACGTCACAAGGAGTGTATTTATGGGAGACTGAACAGAGGACTAACGAGCAGATTGGGAGCAGGTGTGATAGAGCAGCAAAGAGAGGAGCTAGGGAAAAATGAGACTAACACAAGAGGGCAACAGAGGGAAACAAATAAAAACCTTAGAACTCAGAAAATAAAACATGGAGCGAAGTAAAACAACAGAATCAAGACCGTGACTAGTGCCATAAACTTCAAAAAAAAAAAAAAAAAGAGGTGTAACTTCAAAAGAACATAGTCAGTTTCAGAAGTCTTTATTGTCAATGTTTGGTAGTTTTTTTTTTTTCTGATGTAGAATGGCAGAATAACCCAAAAGGGCCCTGATATACTAAAATCTTGAAATTGCAACCCACTGAAGCACAAAAAATAGCTTATTATGATGGGAATGCACGGCCAGTGGAACAATCACCAATGAACCAGCAGGGACAGATACCAGAAGCCCTCGACCCACTAATGTCTTCTAAATATCTCTGGCTGCGCTGTCATAAAACACTTTCTGTTGACATTTTATTTAATAACTAGTATAAAACAATAATTATAACAACAAAAGGCAATGAAAATAACTGTTCTATGTTCAAAATCTATTTTTTTCATCTAAGGAAAGGGAAGCTAATCAAAATGCAGCAGCGAATGTGGGCGCTGCTCTTATTTCAAAGGTTGGTACAGGTTTGCTTTGTTTGTTTTTCTTTTATTTTGTTTTACTATTTAAAACAATTTTACCGGAGGATATAAACATTTTCAAAAATAACTGAATGATAAAAAGATGAATTCATAAAAGAGCGTTCGGTTATTTGGGCTTTCAATTAAAAATATAGGCAATGTTATGAAATGAGACACATGCTGTAATTTAAAAGCATAGGGTAGCGGATACTGTGGCTAGTAAATTGCAAAAGTCTTTATTCATTCTTTATTCTTTTATTCAAAATGCAATGAAAATAACTAGTTTATGTTAAAAATCTATATTTTTTCTTAAATCTTAGGAAGAGGAAGATCAACAAGATGCCACACCTAATGCTAGAACTGCTTTTCTACAGGTTTGTTTTATTTTTCTCTTATGTGTTTTTTTTTTATGTTTACAACAATTTAATGAGAATAACAGAAGCTAATGTAACTAAGCCCACAGTTTACTGGAGTCTTTTCTTATTGTTATGAATGTGAGGGATAGAATAATAAATAAAGTTTCATTCATTGTCTATGGTGGATATTCATGTACTTGTTTTAAAGAGTAAAGACTCCTGATGGATGCATGAAAACTGAAACCGCCCGTCCAGTGCTGAAAGTGGGGCTTTCACAGTCATTCAAGAACACAAAATGTAGCCTTTGTGAAACATTTTTCAACACTATGATTTCAATAAGGCATGCTTTGTTCATTATCATTTTACAGTACTTCATTATCATTTTACAGTACTGTGTAAACTTAAACACACACTTACCTTTGTGTGTTTAAGTCAACTTAGGCAATATACACATGTCATCTACACAAAATGCTATTGTTATCTCATTGGAACAAACTTATATTTTAGTGTGAACTCAATTAATCGACACCAGACTTAAATCCAAGATAACATTAAGAACTAATCTAACTTTAAGCTGCTTCTTTTAAATGTATGACTAATTATTTGGTAAAAGTTTAAATGTTAACAATAAAATTACTATATTATGCTAATTACTTAAGCAGGTGAAACACTAATATACCGTATTTGATTTTTCTATGGCTTGATATAAACTCACTGACAAATGTGTTTGGAAAATCCTATTTTAAAAAGCTTCTCAATCTGATAGTGTTGTATTTATTATTTAGTGAGTCAAAATGTGACAAAGCGAACTTTATGTTGATCCATCAGTGAAGAAAATAATTGCCATTTTCTTTTTGCAAGAATAATCAAGGAAATGGGGACACGACACCATGTAGTGATGGCACAAAGAAACCGTGTCTAAAGGTATGATTGTAATGATGTTCCTATTTTGCGTTTCTTCTTCATTTTTGCCTAAAATAACAGCAAAAACAAATTTTAACGAATTCTTTTTTTTTTTTCAGAGCTGTTTCATCAAAGGAAAAAAATTAAAAAAATGGATCGCCTGCATATTTCTTTTTGTCATTATTGCTATTGTGATTGGCATCTCATGTGCTGTGTGCTTTGGTATTAAAGGTAAAACTAATTATTATATTACAGGAACACTATTTATTTAAATGCTAATGGTATTACAGTTGTAACTGTCTTTCTTTTAACAGAATACGATGAGGATGATGGTGATGAAACATATGACCAATCGAAGTTCAATCAGAAGCAGAAATTTAATGGCAGCTTCCAGATCACTCATGAACCCATGTCTAATGAAACACAAGTACTACTTGACCTTCAAGAAAAAGTTAGTGATATTTTTGTTGCTACTTTTGATATTCTTTTTATTACCTATTATTACACCCATCATGCTGCATGCAGGAGTTTGAGAGAAAGGTAAAACCTTGAGAAACTATGAGATAGCAGCTGCTCCCTCTCTATATTTCTACCTCTATTTTTGTCATTTTTTTCTCTCCTCCTTTGATAAAAAAGTCAAAAATCAATTACCTAAATATAATCCAAAGTATCATATATATATATATATATATATATATATATATATATTTTTTTTTTTTTTTTTTTTCTCTGATGGCTTCTCTCTCCTCGTCTCATAGCCTTATGGAGGCCTTTTGCTCCTGTGATTACTAAACAGAGCTACACTGACAATACACAGGTTTTGGAGAATTCACAAACAGACAGTTTGTTTAAGCCAATCTAGCTGATGATCGAAATGGTGTTTTCCTCCAATGAAATATAGAAATATTGCTTCATGTCTGCAGAGGGCACAGTGATATTTCAGGATAGATCAGCCTGATATTTTGCATAATAAGGAAAGGATTTGTGAGAGGGTATCATTTATAATTCATGGGGTGTCTATATTGGCTGACAGTGCTTAAATATGTTGCAATGCTACCACTGATTGTGGGGTTTTTCCCTTAGCAAGATAGCAACGCAAACCTATATGGATTACTAAGCAATTAATTTAAAACACATAGATGCAGTTTACTAACAAATGTACAGGTATAATGCAAATAAAGAAAATTTCCAACCCCCCAGCTTCATGCAGTGGTCCACTCCAGTGCAATGGAAGATTAGGGAATTTCCTCCAGCTGAAGTCATTAGACTGTTATCATGCGTGCGCCCCATGAAGTCAGCCCTTAGGAGATGGACCTAAAATAAAAAGAAATGAGGCTTTGAAATAAAACAAACTTCTTATCAGGGTTTGTGTGTGCATCACCTTAGTGAGAGAGGTGTTTTGCAGCACCCTTACAAGATCAAATGACATGTGTCCAAACCTCTGCTTTTTGAAATGTAAAAAAAGATTGAAATGGACCTTAAACCTGACCCCTGACCCTATATGGCCTAAGCCAGACCCTAACCCTAAGTATTACCAACATATACACCTAACCTTTACCTGAACTGATTTCACACCGTAGTCCTAAACCTATTTACTCCTAAACCTACACCTACAAAGAAAACTACTTCACCATATGGGGACCAGGATTTTGCTCCCCTAAAGGACATAGGTCCCCATTATGTGACTGTGTAAACAGATTCTAGTCCCTGCTCTGTCATAAAAACCACACCATTTTGATTAAAAAAAACAAAAAAAAAAACAAACACAGATTTTTAGTACTGCAAATAAACTAAATATAATAATACTACATCTATCATGCAGCTGGAAATAAAGGCTTCTTCGATCCAAGATCTCAGGCTGAATATCAACCCGAGCCTTCTCCTTTCACTGAAGCAATAGTAATATGCTGCTGCAGTTTTGCAGTGCTTTTCCTCACCATCATGCACATTTCAGCATATTAGCCAACAGAGAAACCATAAAAATATGCAAAAATACAGGGAAAACAAAGAATATCATTGATGAATGTTAGCTATTCTATGCAGGCTTGTAAACGCTTTCACTTTTTGGGAATTGAAGGCACAACAGATCTTAAGTAAGGGAGTACAGTTTTACCAAACTTGTACCAATCATGGTCTGAGGTTGAATGTTTTGGAGCTCTTTGATCGATAAAGACAACATTAATCTATTTTAGATGACTTCAGCTTGTGTCATGCAGCAAACCGCCGTCTCCATAAGACCTAGCTTAGCCTGCAAGTCATTTCCCACTATTTTCCACTGTTTAAAAGAGAATAAGTCGATATACTTTTTTAATAAGCACATTTTGTTCTTCTCCAAACAATTCCAGCTGGTGCACTCAAACACAAACAAAATCAAACACTCCTAAGCTAAGACACAACCTATATCCCTGTGGAGCAGCTTGTTTTTCAAAAATAACCTTCCACTTTTACTCTTTGCATGTTTCTACCTGCCCATCCCAGCTGGCCGGCCTCTACAAATCCTCCCCTGCCCTGGGACGTTTCTTCTCAGAAGCAGAGACATTATTTCCTAGGTAAACACCCAACCCAACTAGCAGATTATGCAATATAGTTTTTGCGACGTTACATAAAACACGTTATGCTTCATGCTGATATTAACCAGTGCTTCCCTGTCTCTCTCTCTCTCTCTGCAGGAATGAATCTGCTGTTGTACAATACAGACTGACATTTGTCTTTCCAGAAGAGCAGCAGGCAGATTTAAAAAAATTTACTCTCAGCCGGGAGATGGTCTACAACGTGTTCAGGCAGTTCCTTTACGACCAGGATGAAAATGAATTAGGGAAAATATTCATTGAGCCATTTTCCTTAAAAATGGACCCGATACATTAATTTATAAGGTGTTGAGAAATGAGTTGCTGCAAAACCACCTAAACCTTAATTTCTGGCTGTGAAACTTTAGTTTGGTGGCCAGTTTACTTGACTCCTGTTGTACACCACAGGCTGATCATTCATACTGCCCATGTGAATACTATCAGATGAGCAGGTCTGGAAAATCATCTGCTGGGGAAATCCCAAAACACATGGTTATTGTTTCTCATTTAACATAGAATACATTTTTTTAATGTTGTATTTTAGATTTTATTTTTTATTACCTTCATTGCCGAGCCTCAAAGGCTTTTGTAAAAACTTTGTCAATGTGAATTAAGTATGGTTGTACAACGGGAAAATGATAATAAGCTGTTTATAGATGTGTTTATACAGAGAGCTTCAGATACTGGTTCAGTTTTGATGTGTGACCAGGCATGATTTGTATACTGTAAATAAAGCTGCTTGAAACATTTGCATAAAGTGCAACAAACACTAGAATAAACTACAGGGAATTTAGGATTTTTTTTTTTCATTTCCAAGTGATAAACTTAGATGCCCAACTATGAACTGCAATGTTTTTTTATTCATGTATTTTTCTTTTACCGGTAAATATTAGACCTTTCAGTATTTTTTATTGCTTTAATTAGCAGTTTAAGTGTTTTTTGGTGTTTTTTCCCTTTAAGTGACCAACTATCTCTCAGTGCTTTTAAGTAGTTCTTTGGACGGGGTTGTGGAGGTTATTGAAGTTTATGATTACTTTTGTCAATGTTTAACTACTTCAACAAACACAACAGTCAGAGTTTCTTTGGATTTTATGACCTTTGTGACTATCAACATGGCTGCAATCCAGTAAGACTCCAAAAATAGCGAAGATTTACTCTAAAGTAAAAACAGCTGTTAATGTGATCATCATTAATATACAGCTGCAATTTAATTAGTATTTACTTTAAATAAGTGAGTCTTGGAAGACCATTAAATTAACCTTAGAGGGTTAGGTTCTAGATGTGCAACCATCTAAAATCTGAACATATCATACAACACAACATTTGGATTTATTCCTTACTGTCAAATCACATGTAATTGAGAAATTTGCTTATGAATTCATGGATGCTTGTTTTTTGCTTTACATACACGAGAGAGATGCATACATATCCACAAGAAAAACACTCCAAATTATGTTATGAATTCACAGATTCGTCAACATTTAGAACAAGAATAAAAACATTGATTAAAGGGCGTAGTGTTTTTGTAGGAATGAGCCAGGAAGGCAGGAGATCTTCCTAAAGAAGACGTCCTAAACAGATTCAAAGGGTTACCAAAATTACAATTTACCAAAATCCGTTAAGTAGGTACTGAGTAAGAACGGTAGAAAGTTACCTGTTATTGAGAAAACAAGAAGTGCGGTAGATCTGGAACTGACACATAGTATACATGATGATCTCACCACTATCATGTTTATTTGTATGGGCGGTTCTAGACAGGGGCCAACGGGGGCCAGAGCCCCTGTAGATCATGTCCTGGCCCCTGTTATGGCCACTGTACTGAAGACATAATGCTCAAAGAAATTCTAATGATGATATGCACAGGAACAGACATGGTTACTAATAGGTCCTTTGGATCTATTTCATGTTTTTTTTTCTTTACAAATTCTATTTTACTAATTATTTAAAAACAATAAGGTGATAGCTTCAGTGGTTTTGAGATAGGATCCCAGTTTTCATCTGCTAAATGTTTTTTTTTTTTAAACAAATTTAAAAAAATACTCTAACTTTTACAGCTGAATTTATGATTTTCTTGAATTCTAATTCAGGTTTTATTGAAAACAGTTATTTTAACTTAAGTCAAAATATGTATAAATTCCTAAATTCTGAATGTATATTGATCTAATAAGACAAAATTTTTGTTTACCTAATTGGCCCTGTTTTTTATTTCATAGCTTTCTGTGCCCCCATTAAAAAAACACTGGCCCCCTCCGGGCCCCCTGGTATATTTGGTCTAGAACCGCCACTGTTTATATGACATATTAAGTATAAAATAGAAGCCTGATAAACCAGACTAAATGTGAGATTAAATGGCAAAGATAATTTTGCCCGCTGGCAAGTGGGGCTAGTTTACTAGGTAAATAAAATAGTATTTTTTACTATTTGTACCGTGTTTCTACACCCATGCTGTTATTGCCATGGTTTTTCAACCATTTTATCTTAAACTTGATCTGAATATTGAGGCAGTTTTTCATAACTGCATAATGTTTCTTCAGTACGTTTTTTCCCCTCCTTGTACACTCCATTTTAATTTTTTGTATTTTCTGTTCTTTTCAGATTTTGTTTTTCGATATGTTTCACTATATGTACAGTACAAATAGACTTTCCAAACAAGTTAAAAACAAAATCACAAGACTTTTTTTTTTCCAAGTTTGAAGACGTTTCCTTGCTTTAAGGTCATTAAATTAGCGGGAGTGATGTGATCACTGGGTGTGATTTGGTTCTTAAATATATATATTTTTTTATTTATTACAGATTGGAGCGAAATAAACTGTGTTTCAGGATGGGGCAATTATATTGCAAACTTTTTATCAGGAGTTTTAAATGTATGCAGCTGTGATCTAATAATCATCTGCCCTCATGACCCGCTGGTTTTCCTGTTTTCTTAAGAACCACACACTGTAACATTATACCAGAAGGCTTTCTATCACTACACTGTAGACGTTAATGAGCAGCTGGTGGGGCTGCACTTTAAAATATGGTGAATAATGAGTTGCTTTACACACAATGCCAATCTTAAAGAAATGTGTAGTTCCTTAGTATGTTTACAAGAAAGTAGATGTGGTTCTTAAAGTTATAAACCTTTTTTCTTAGTTGAGGTGAAGTAAAAAGTATTTTTTTTAGGGTGAGTAAATTCTGATGCAGTGGAAACAGCTTTTTTTTTTAGTTTGCGGATGTAAAAGTAACTTAAAATTCAAAGGATTAATCAATGAATATAGGAAGTGATGTCTTGGGAAGCGCTCAACATGGTCAGGAAAATTTAATATGCAGATTTCAACCATGACAATAATTATGCAAACTCATCTCAGACTCCACTCAGCTCAGATCTCTAAGTCTGGCATTGACTGTTGCTGTTTTTATCTAATAGGTTAATAGACATTAACAGGCCCTGCCGGTGGTGGTCCATCTACTCAAACCTATTTTGAGAATTGTCAGCCGCCTAAAGCCAGATTTACTCAACTGAGCTCATTCAGCTTTGATAGCCTTATTGCAAACAGCAGTGGTTACTCTCAAGGCTGCAGCGAACATTTCAAATCTAAATTATTCTCAGGCACGTCACTTATTCATATTGACAAACAGTTCAAATGTGATGCATTCTGAAGATCAATTTCTTTTTATTTATTCCATATCTATACCCCTTGAACTGTTTTTAAGTTTTCACATTAGAATGAAATGAATTGTATTGAGCTTCTATGTTCCAGACTAACAAATTTCTTTATTTTATTTTATCTATTTTTAATTTTTTTTTACTATACATTTTTATTCAGGTCTCCTTAGACAGTTCTGCAGGCCCATCTCATTACAGTTCTTGCAATGTAAGTCAATGTTGCATATCTAAACGCAGCTATTTGCCCGTCCCCTTTTAAAGCTGGGTCAATTTTAGTGCAAGATTTGTTTAGGATTATTAGCTACAATTTGTAAAATTGAACATATTTTGATTATATCTCTGCCTGCATGTTTAAGATGTCTGCATCCTTGCCTTGCTGAACCAGTCAATTTAGGCATATGTCTGGATAAGTTTGTCCTTGTGCCCCACTCTTTCTCTGCATTTTTCCATAAATTATTGAAAGGTTCTTCATGAGACGTTCAAAATCTTAAATATCGTTTCATATTTTCAACCTGATCTGTCTGTTGGATTTCTTGGTTTTAAGGACATTGTTTATTTACTAATGTTCTGTAAAATCCTTCAAGGAAAGTGCAGTCACCTGCAGATTGACTCCTGTATAAGTTTGGTCAAATCTAAAGCCAACTGGCTTTCTTGGTTTTTCATTATAGGAGCATCTGATTATAATGGCAAAATCCAAATGCAGGAGGAGCCTCTCAGATATTTATATTTGAAACTTTGTGAAGAATCCCCCCTAATGAGGTTTATCATGGCACAACAAAATTAGAAACGGTTCAAGAGGTTATGCTTTTGCAGGCACTGTACAATGTAAAGGCTGCTTTATTGATCCTCAGTTTACACCCTGTTTCTGTTCTGTTGTTCAGTTGAAATGTTTTATTAGGTCAGAGAACCAAGAGAATTGTTTTGCCAAGCTCTGGCAACTCTCCCAGCCCCCATTATACCTCATTACAATGTGATGTCTATGTAAAATTACAGTAGTAAACTTAAGGAAAAAGCATAACATGCTACTAACAAATCGTCACCACCACCATGCACAGATACACATGCGGTCCGATTTAGCGGACTGAGCATCTGTTTAACTGTCAAACCTGCAGGAACTTCTTTTTTTTTCTCACTCCCACAATTCAGAACACTTAGAGCAGATAATGACATTCATTTCCGCTTTTGTTCTCCACTCAAAGTCCTGAGGTTCTTGGAAGCCTTGACTTATCCAATTAAAGCGTTATCTCTCTTTTAGGCTTAAAGATTAGGAGCAGACTCACTGCATTGAGTTTCAGACAGAAATCCGAGGTGCTGCTGCTGCTAGTAAAACTTTTCTCTCCCAGCATTGGTTTCACCTCCAGATCTTTGCTAGATCTGTGGGAAAAAAAAGAAAATCCTCGAAAGGAGTGATGGGTTCCTACAGCTCAAACCTGGATGATATCTTGGAAGAGGACATGCACCACTGGTACACCAAATTCATGAGGGAATCTCCATCTGGACTTATCACTCTGTTTGAACTGAAGACGATGCTTGACATGAATGGGATGACAGAGGAGGCCAGCAGTTATGTTGACCAGGTGTTCTTCACCTTTGATATGGACGGGGTAAGAAAACTCTGCTTTTATGATTTTAATAAGGTGACATGACCAAGATGAAAGAGTGACAGAGTTGACCTATTAGCAGAAAAATTTTATTCCGTATATAAAATTATTTGGCTCGGATTTTTACAATCTTAACTAAAGAAGATGTTGATTGTGGAGCAAATGAACTGATGCTTATGTTGTCTTTGTTGTCTCCTCCAGGATGGCTATTTAGACTTTGTGGAATACATTGCAGCTATAAGTCTATTGCTGAAGGGCGAGGTAAATCAGAAACTGAAGTGGTACTTCAAGCTTTTTGATCAAGATGGAAACGGAAAAATTGACAAGGATGAACTGGAAACTATATTCAAGGTACAGTTAGTATTTCACTGATGTTTCACAGTCAGACATGCAGAGCATGAGAGCTTGCTTCTTTGAATCCTTAAAGCGTTGCTATTAACAGCTCCTGTACTGGACATGACATCTAATCTGGGCACCTCTTACCTCATCGTAGCGCTAAATGTTGTCTTATCTAACTCAGTGACTAGATAACACAGGTCCAATTCATTGCATCAGTGTGTATTTATTGTGAAATGTACTTACTAATTTAGTCAGGGTAAAAAGAAATGTTAAACAACTTTTTAGCTTGTTAGAGCTCCTGGTAAACCTATAACCTACTGCAAGATTAAAAAGCTGGTGTTAAATTTCCTTTACAGGCTATTCAAGATATCACCAGAAGTTATGAGATCCCCCCAGAGGAGATTGTGACACTTATATATGAGAAAATTGATGTTAAGGGAGAAGGTAATAAACACAATGCTGTAGTAGTTAACCCAGCCCCCCCCCCCACACACACACACACACACACACACACACACACACACACTCACACACCAATTATTTATTAACAATTTGATGTTGTGTCTTTGAGTGGTACAGTATGACAAATGGAAAGTATGGCCCTGAGAGGTGAAAGTAAGAATTCATGGTTTTATTAGTTTGTTTTCACAAATCCTTATTTAAAAAATGCTGCCTTAATTCTTTTTCAGCCTTCCTGAATCCATACTATGTACTACTAGCTTTAACTGGAAGCATCTACCAACTTTGTAAATGTAGAAAGGGAAATTTGTATCCACCCTTCATGGCTCATGCTGTCTGTTAGATTGCAGCAGGTTAATGTCTGGACTTTGACTGGGCCATTCCAGGACATAAATATGCTGTTATCTAAACCAGAGCTGTTGTGATTTTTTTTCTATCATATAGTTTTTATATCTAATATTCATATCAAATCTATACTAAACAGTCAACATTTTTGCCAAACCTCAAAAAGCAGTGCAATTTCTGTAGAAAATCTATCAATAAATCATTGCTCACTTATTACAAATACAGTGGTTGCATTTGAAATGAAAGAAAGACTGATAATAATATACATCGTGATGTACCTTAAGTTAAAGAAATGTTAAGAAGTTTTTAGTTTTCCAGGGAAACACTTCCCTTTAGTAATAGAGAGTGTCTTTATACATGTGCTGCTGGTCCACATGTGTACCGCCCCATTGTAGCTCTAGCTGTGTGTTTAGAGTCATCATCCAGCTCAGAGTTGAAGTCTTATGCCTTTTGGAGCCTTTCATTAAAAAATTAAGATTGTAGATAATGTTTGTTTAGAGTAATGTACATTGTTAGGTTCCCTTCATATGAACTGATTTGAATTAAAAACAAAATGTTACAGAACACCTTCTTCTACGTGATGTTTACCATGTAAGCTTCATGACTCACCTTAAAGGGGAATGCAGTCTCTTTTACATTTGGCCCTCTTTTACATTTGGCCCTTGAGTTATTACATAATTTTGTACTCACCCATATATGTTTTGTGTCATTTGGAGCTGTTCTGAAGATATCCGGTTTTGTAATCCAAGTAACGTCTTCCTATGGGCAACGAGTTGAAGGCACAAACTAAACTGTTAATAATTTATTCTTTATTCTGGCAGCCTGTTTATTCTTTATTCTTTACGCCAGCATTCATAACATGTAGGCGAATCACTGTCCCCCAGACATCCTTGGTTATATTTTTTATATTTATATCCTTTTTAAACAAAGCGGTGCGTGTATGACGTCATCCGCGCATGCGGACTGGAGTAGTGACAGGCAGCTTGGGCCACAGGCGGCTACGCTCTACCCCTTATATTTATTCGGCTAGCTAATTTGAATCGTTAAATTCCATTTCCAGAGCGAAATCATCTGTGGTAGTAGCACTAGACATCTTCCAGGCATGTGAGTAAAACTAGCAGCAGTTCAACGGACAGGATGAATGAATGGTAGGTGGCACGCACGGATGATGTCATACACACTCCGCTTTGTTTTAAAAAAATATAAATATAAAAAATATAACTGTGGATGTCTGGGAGACAGTGATTCGCCTACATGTTATGAATGCTGGTGTGCCATAAATGATAAATTATGAACAGTTCAGTTTGTGCCATCAAGTCGTTGCCCATAGGAAGACATTACTTGGATATAACCTAACGGAATAGCTTAAGAACGGCTCCAAATGACACAAAACTCATACGGGTGAGTAGAACATGATGTAATAACGGAAAAACAAGAGCCCAATATAAAAGAAATGGTGTTCCCCTTTAAATTAGACTTCTGCAGTATTAGTTCCATGATGGCTTTTTTTTTCTTTTTTTTCTTCAAAAAAGTAAAACAAAATAAAAAGAAAAAAACAAAAGAGATCTGTAGAGGGTGTAAGTGCTAGTTTCTTGTCTGCAGATTTCCCTCCTGGGCTGTGGATGAATCCTGTGCTCCTCCAGGTTAATTAATTGAACTTTATTGATCTCACATTGGAGAAATTTATTTCTGCATTTAACCAATCCCGTTAGGGAGCAGTGTGCTGCCATTGTGCAGCTCCCGGGGAGCAGTGTTGGCAGTCTATGGGAGTTGGGCTTGAATCCAGAACCTCTGGATTCCAAGCGAAATGCCCCAACCACTATGCTGCTATTCCCTTCGACCCCACTCCCTTCCAGGTTAACCATGGACCTCTTGGTCTATGTGGCGGTAAAAGCCATATTTAATGTTAGATTAATTCAATCAATTTGTCCATTAGTTGACATTAAAAACTAAGATGGTTGCAATGGATTTTATTTATTGGTATTAGATATAATGGGGGGTAATGCACTTGGATAAAGAAAATAATCATTTTATTTGATTCAAATGTTTAAAACCATGCATTATTTTCCTTCAAACTTAAGAAAATGAAAAAGTTTATTGGAATTTCACATTAAAAAACAATCCACCCTATTTAAAAAAAACAATGTCTGTTTTTTCAGGTGGACTGAAATTCAAGTGCATTTCAGAATGTTTGGCTACATTTTGCCCATATAAAATAATAACATCCAAAATGCATAAGATGGACTTTTCATTCCTTTATTCACAGGTGAGCTGACGTTGGAGGAGTTCATCAGCGGAGCGAAGGAGCACCCTGACATCATGGACATGCTCACGAGGATGATGGATCTCACAAATGTCTTGGAAATCATAATCAAGGGTCAAAGGAGAAATGCTGTGAAATGAGATTTAACTCAACAAACTGGAAAACGTTTTGCCGAGTTATGCTTTGTAAAAAAAAAAAAAAAAAAGAAAAAGACTTCTAAAGATTTGAACATTTTATCTGACAGTAACAATTAATGGCACAGAAATTGCTTTTATCTCCTCTGCCAGTGCTTGCAGAACACTGATTACAGTTTTGGTTTAGGCTGAAAATATTTTTGCAAAAGATTTACTAACTGACGTCTGTGAAATGTTAACCTCATGGTTCCATATTGTGCAACATATGAATCAAATCCACTTTATTATTCAGTGTGTTGTTAATCTCAACTATTCTCAGTATGTAAGCAAACATATTGAGATTAACTGGAACTGTAGATTGTGGCTGAAAACTGCTGTTACTCACAGGAAACTGTGAGTAACTGCTCTTAGCCTGAAACCAGAGGTGCAAAGACAGCTTTTTCTACTAACAGAACATATTATGTATTGTACATTATTTTTCCACCACTGAGATGACAGTGATTGCCTTTATGATCAATGTGTTTATATATGGTCAATGTGTGTGTATATCTATATATATATAGATACACACACATATTAACAGTAATTAGACAATGTCCTTGTTCAGGTTAAACTCCAGATAGGGAAGAAATATCTTTAAAGCTGAAAAAAGTGGAAGTGAAAGGAGTGTCTTTTTTACATATATGTTTGTTTGTTCGTTTACAAAATCTAAAATTCAGTTGTAAATATGAAGCAATTACCTGTTAGAAAAGGGCGGAGTTTGAAGCATTTTTTTTTTTTTTTTATGTACAGCAGGCATCCATAAAAGCATTTTTAAGATTGAGATTCAAAATTAACATTATTTTACTTGCAGAAGATATTTTTATCTTTGTTACTAATGTATTCAGATTTCTTGGATCTGCAGGCTTACATTGAGTAATTGATTGCAAATCCAATGATCATAATGTAATGAAAACTGTGAGGGATGAGGCAATGTGCCACCAATGACATCCCTGTGTCTGTGGTGCGTCTGCATGACTGATATCATGGGTAAATCCCTCCTTCGATACCACCTCTTCCCTCAATGAAACCCATTAAAACAATTACCATCTTTAAATTCTTTAAATTAACAAAAACATGTATTCCAGGTGTAGTTGTCTGTATTTTGTAGTTTTACATCAAATCTTAAAATGTAAAGATTTTTTATTTCTAACAGACAGTTAGTTGGACTGGAAATGCTTTTGATTTTCCTGGAAGTTGCAACCTTCTGTTTCTGTGTAACTTTATGTAAATAAGGAACTAATGCATATTTAATTGTGGCGTAATGGGTAAAAAGGCTTGCAATACGTTTCAAGAGTGGTTGTTTCAAGATGGTAGAAATCTGTTTGGGCTTGACCTAGACTAGACATTGGCTTCAGCTGTTGGGACCAACTGATCTGTATTTTTATATGATTACAAGTGGAAGTAGTTATCTACCTCCTTTTGTTGATCCCTTTAAATCCAGTTTAAATTAGCTTAAGAGTGCCCTCTGCTGACCATTGTCAACTATTACAACACAGTCATTCTATTATTAAAAGACATTCTTTTTTGTGTCTCATTTGTATTGAAATCTCTGTATCATAAATGATTTTCTATCATGTATTGAGATCCAAAGTCTTTATTTTAACATATTAGAAATGTGTGATCATGTGCTATGATTTCTCAACTTCACTTTTTTTTATATTTTTAACAGCATCCTTATTTTGTTGTTTGAAAATTTGGGTTATAACTAACTTCATTACTCTTTGCTTTAAGGTCATTCAAACATCATCATGCTTGCCAGTGATTTCACAGAGATACGTTTTGGTGCTAGCAGTTCAAATATTAGAAAATGTCAGACTGTGTTGTGTAAAGTAAATAGAGAAAAGATAAGGTTTGACTTCGAATAACACCCAAATGTTAGCCTGAACATATCGGACGATGCAATTACACAAGCACACTGATCAACCCACCTTTGCCGCTCCTTTAAAAAGCGATCTCTCCCAGCAGCTTTGCACTGCATCCATCTACCTTCTGGTCCCTTCCACAGCTCAGGAACAGCGATCCACCTCAACTATGCAGTCCGCTGAAGCCAAATTCAACAAAAACACCTTGTTTTTGACTCTGAAGCGATACAGCTCAGCTGTTGGCGACATGGAAAAGACCATTCTGCTGCCAAGCCTGCTGCGAGACGTCCCCTCTGACTGTGAAGCAGCGGATGAGACCTGCAGAGATCTCTACACAAACTACTTGATGCTGAAGGCCATTCGAAACACAGTGGAGAGCAGCCTGGTAGCCCTGGATGATCACAAATCAAAGAACACGACACTTACCAAGACTCTGGAGCCTTTCCTGGATGCTGATCCCGAAGCATTATTTCTCTTTCATCTGAGAGGTCTGTCTAATGTGATGAGCGACCTCACAAAGAAGACTCGCAGCGTCACTGACAAATACTTGGACATAATTGGGTTGGCAAATTAAAAGTCAAATTGGCTGAGAAGGGTTTCATTTGGTGAACTGAAGTGGAAACATCATGAAAATTGAATAAATTTACTTGGCCAAAACTGACAACTAGTGTTTCATTTGTAAGCAGTTAGTTGCTACAGTAATTCATACTCTTGGTATCAAAAGAGAGTAAAGGGAAGCTTGAAAAGTTCAGTTGAGGAAAATGGATGTGATGTTTCCTAGAAGACGTTTTGTCTCTCATAGAAGAGGCTTCCTCAGTTCGGATATTAATATACTGCAGGTATTTTGTTCCCCCCAAAATTTGTTACACCTACAGTATATTAATATAAGTCATTTTTCTCAGGCAACTAGGCGTGATGTTTTCTAGAAGATGTTTCGCTTCTCATCTAAGATGCCTCCTCAGGTCTAACTGGTGGTGCACTGAGAATCTTCCCAGATAAGAAAATAAAGGTAGTATTTGAAATGAGTAATGCACCGATCAGTAAACAGCAGGTCAAATTGTGAATTTTATTTCTTAATATTTAGATGCTTATAAGCTAAATTTTAACCTTGTAGTGTTAAAAAAATTTAGAAATTTTGTTTATTTTCCAATTCTTTTACGTCAAAATTTTTGACAGACTAAAGAGTAAATTATAGCACGTCTGTGTCTCACTCGTTTTTTAAATGAAAACCAGGAATATATGGATCAGCCCATTCTGTGATAATACTAACCAAACTCTCACCATGGACTAACTTACGGATTATTTTTTATTAGAAAAACTTAAATTTAAAAGAAATCTATAAAGCAGGGGTCACCAACACGGTGCCCGCAGGCACCAAGAGGCCCTCAAGGACCACATAGGGGGCCCGTCTTCGTCTTCTGAAAACAGAACAACTCACTCAGTGGGTTAAGTTTAATTTTTTTTTTTTATTCTGTTGCTCTTCTTTTTAATCATTTATGTATTATCATGTTAACTATTTCATCATATTTCTGTGGTTTCAAAATGACAATATCAAAATGAAAATAAGAAATGAATAAAAGAATAACAAAAATAAAAATTACTTTTTATGCATGAGATTTACTGTATTGAACACTGATCCCTCCAGTTCATAGGTCAGTATTGGTAGCCCTTCCTATGACTCGGTAACCATGAAGTAGCCCTCAGCCTTAAAAAGGTTGGTGACCCCTGCTATAAAGACAATCACTTTTATAGCATGGCAGTCTTAAGTCTATTACTTGCTTATGCATTACAAAAAAAACCTTAATCCATTTTTTATCAAATTATTAGACATTCCTAATTTTGAAGCACTTCAAATTTTTAAAATGTAATTTTAATATTTGACTTGCAGATAAACCATTGAGGCAGATTAAGTTCAAATTAAGCGCTTAATCTTTGGTCAAATGATCAGTGCAATTCCTATTCAAATCAGTTTGTCTGTTGATTGATTGGGACAAAAGCTTCATCAACGGGTCATACTTTCATATTTTTCCATAAAGGAACTACTGATGCACCCCCCCCAAAAGTGAATAAAGAACTCCTTAAAAAAAGACTGCAAAGACCAATGGGGAAGTGATGGCCTTGCAGGGTGCTTGTGTGTTGAGAAGGCTGTAAGTTCCTCAGCCGTTAACCCATTCTTGAGGGATGGGTTAAATGCAGAGAGCAAATCTTATCGAAATCTTCAAAACTGTTATAATCATTGTAATAACAAAGCTTAAAGCAGCATCTTTGGAACAGTATATCAGGCAAATTTAATTTTGGTAGATTTTCTTTTATTATTTACATCTCTTTAACGCAATCATTATATGACAGATTTCACAAAAAGGCTGCCAAATAAAAGAGTCGGTCCTTTTCCTTCCTTTTGTTGCCATGGTAGCCACTCAGACTTAGCGCACAGGATGGAACGGCTCGACAATCTCAGCAAAGGTCTTTTTTTCTGATGAAATAAAAATACAAAAAGAGAGAACTTTAGATTGACAGGACTTTTTTCTAAAGTACAGGGGTCCGTTTCATGAAGCAGGTTTACTGAAAACCAAGTTGTCTAAACCTGAAAACAGGAAAACTGATTTTTCCGATTCACAAAGAGGGTTTCCTCAGCCTCTGTTTTAATCACTGGAGTAACCTTCTCCCCAGAGCTAACCTGGTCATTAGCAGGTTTTCTTCACTAAACTCAGATTGTCCTCGGTCCTTGCTCTCCTCAGATTTTTGTTGTAGTTTTGTGCATAAAAAAAAAAATATATTATATATATATATATATATATATATATATATATATATATATATATATATATATATATATATATATATATATACACATCTCATTCACAAGGTCTGTTAGACATATTAGGTTTTAAAAACAAACGTTGCATGTCTATTTGACGAGGATCTTATTTTAAAGAATAAGTTTTTCACAAAGAATTGAATATTTCTAGGGAGAGGATTCTACAACTCAGTTGACAGGGCATGAGATCAGTTGTTTTTGGTTTGTTTAATATGCGCAAGATGCAGATCATTTTATTTTTATTTAGTTATATTTACAGTACATGAAGAACTACTGAAATTATTTTCAGATTACAAATATATAGATTCATTAATTCCATGGAGGAAAAGGAATTACTATAGGGTTAAGATTATGATTCACTTGATGATAACAACCTAATAAGCCTACTGGCACAATCAGTGGGCATTCTATGGTACTGATAGCTGCTTATAACAACCATTCATTGCAATAACATCCGAAGCGCTGCAGCAAAAAGCGACTTTACTGCGTAAACGAAAACTGAATCGACATTAGGAAGGACGCATGAGATGATCCACGGGTTCTATGAATAAGAAAGTTTTTATTTTTTTATCCTCACCTGCTGCCAGAAGATTTCACCTAAATAGATACATCGATCTACTACCATTCAAGAAATAATCCTGTAACATTATCGTGGTGACAAACATCTATGGCGATCCGTTTTGATATGTACTAGTATTACGGAATACGTATTCCTGATTTTTTCTTTGTCTAAATGACCATTTAAAACAAAATACCATTCTCCACATCTAGAATAAACATTCTGGATTTCTAAAAATGTATTTCAGATCTCCATATTTCTAATATTACCTGTGAGCATTTGTATTATTTTAACCATGAAAACATGTTTTTCAGATACCATAAATACATTTTCAGTCAAGCTGATAAATGTCACACTGGCCACTTAAAATGTGTAAACCATTCTAGATATATAAAACTTTATTCTTACTAGTATATTCTTGTTTTCTTTCACGTTTTAAAATTCAGTTACTGCTACAAAAATGTAATTTAGAAAAAATATAATTATTACAGTAAGGCCTAGAAGTGTCATTTTGATCAGGAAGAATCTTATTTAGGTGATCTACGAAAGGAACAACAGAGAGGATAGTGCTTCTAATAAATGTAAATATGGCCTGCCACAGCCCACTTCACATAAAATTACACATTAACTTGAGCAACAATCTTTTCCTTTGCCACCTTCCTCTCCTTTGTAGCTGTAGTGCTTTTCCCTCTGTCTTTTAAACACATTCTCCTTTAGTTATTTTTTTTGCATTTCTGCATTAAAATCTCTAGTTCCAGTGGGGTGAAATCCGCACTTCCTGTTGCCATGGTGACTCTTCGAATTGGTGCTCCACTGATAATAGCTTTTCACACTTGTTGTGCATGCGCTTAACTCTGAATGGACCGAGTTAAAAATCAATCGAACTTATTGATAGCAGCTGTTGTCAAACTGAACACTCAGAGTTCCCGACTTTTGGTTAGATTAATTTAGAGTTGCAGATTTGAATCTGAATTTATCAAACCTGCTTCATGAAACGGACCCCAGGTTCCAACACAACAGAAAAAATAATAACTTTCATGTTTAAGCATTACTAAACATTTATCCAAAGTGACAAAAAAATTAGGACACAATACAAATCAGTGCATTACTATCTATAGCCACAAAGCATGACATAGATTCAAATCCACATAGATGTGTCAGTGGCATTTTAAAACAAAATTGCTAACAAACCTTTATGAAAAATGAGAAAAGGCAAAAACATGACTAACCTTTCGATTCAAATCTCTCTGGGTGGAGCTTAACATACTGATTCATGTCTCGGTCCAGCTTGGCATAGATGTAGTTTTCATATTTCGTGACATGATAACCAATGAACCAGCCAATAGTAGCCAGAAGGAACTGCCGATGGACACCTAAAGAGTAAGGACAAATATAACCGCCTTTATTGATTTGAGTAGTACATGGGTAGGAAGCTATTTGTTTAGCTGATACCAAATTAAGGTAAGAAGGGGAAAACAAAAGGGCAAAACGTGATGAAGATTATGTGTATTCAATGGCTGCTGTCTATCAACATGAGGTTGGAATTATAATGGTCTGATTGGGAATCACAATCTGCAAATTTCACTAATATCCGTTTTGTTTATCAGATCAAAACTAGACTAGTTTGGCATATAATTTTTTTTACTAGAGAGTTGGACATTTTCTTTTTGTCATCAAAAAAGTTCTACAAAAGTTGCTTTGTGTTCACATGTTTGCTTTAGTTTACACTCCATAGTGGATTTAACATGTATCACAAAAATTTTATATACATTTTTTTCAAACTTGGTATAATTGCTACTCAAAGTGGGTTGCTCTGTCAGCTAAAGGCATGTTTTAGAGTTTCTATTCTTCAGGCAACGATTAATCGATTACTAAATTAGTGGACGATTATTTCAATAATCAATTAATTCGATTAATCGTTTCAGCCCCAAATGAAAGTGAAATTTTATGTGATTATTTTGCCATTCCTTAAACTATACTAAAATGTGCAACATATGAGCCAAAAAGTTTCTGGTGACTTTTTACTTTCTTAAACATACAAAAGAACTGAGTGACAAAAGGGAGAGTTTCTCACTAATATCTTCATTATCACTGAAATAAACAGCTAAATATTTTGTAATATTTGTACAAAACAGAACAACAGAAACAAAAAGGAAGGAATAGGAAGGAATCTGAAGTGATTGAAATCAAAAGACCACATACACAGAAAATATAAACAAATAAAACGACACAATTAATTAACACTCTAAAACTGGCAAAGAAAATTGCAAAGTTAAAACTAAGTAGAAAACTTAATCTTCTGTTTACTATTCTTACAGAGTACCAGCAATGCTAACCTGCTCTCATTGGCGGCCTATGGTTGAGAGCATTATGGAGCATCGCGGAGACCCAGCCGACACCGGACAACCACACCGAGTTCCTGTTCACTATTCCCGGAGGGGCGAGCGACTTCCCCTCGTCTGGAACAAACACCATGGTGACAATTTAACGCTGCTATGTGCAAGTATTTCGTTGATCTAGCGCCTGTGCAGTCCTAAGTCCGCAGCTATCACCTCCCCGTAGGAAATCAAGGACAAGTCGTGCAAGTGAGCAAACCTACCGGGTAAAACAAATGAGGGTTGTTAAGGTTCCACATCATAAAACGCATTTTAATTAATTAATTTATTTATTTATTTTTATTAGAAACAAGGGAAATATGTAGAATGACTATATATATATTCATATACTTAAAAAGAAGAACAATTCTATCCCTATTTATTTCCTTCCCTGAATCCTTGATAATACAAAGTAATTACATTAAAATAATAAACATCTTTAAAAGATTGAAGGGTTACACATCCACTCCTTAAATTATTTCTTATAAAAATAAATTCAAGCTAGACCAAATTTCAGTTATGATTGCTTTAAATGAATTAACAATGTTCGATTAAGTATTTTTGGTATATTAGATTCACATATATATGTTTTTATAGATATATATATATTTTTTTTACCTCTCTAAATTATGAATATTATTGGTATCAAAACCAGAATACATTCTGAATATTAAAAAAAAAATCTTGTGCGGGAAAACTTGCTTCCTTTGTCTGTTCCAAAGCCTCTCAGCTTTGTTTATTGGCGGAGTACGTGCCACCCACAATATGGCGGACGCGTTCGCGTACCGTTTTACGGGTTTCCTAGCAACAAAGACCAAAAGCCAAAAAACCCCAACATTCGCTTAAATACTAGCCACTGATAACTATTAAAACAGTATGCTTTTGTGATAAGGTAAAACATAAACGTATAGAATGTTTTACACTATATAACGTAAATAGTTTATTAAACACAGTGGAGTTGAACTTGGTTGATTAGCAGTCCGAGAGTGGATGTAAAGCTAATGACATCATTGAGTGAAATCCCCTCTCCTCCTCCTCCTACTCCTCTTCCTCCTCCTCCCTCCTTGATCAGAAAGGCTGCTGCTGTTGCTACTGAGCTGCCTTGGACACAGCCTTCAGCCGGGGGAATTATGCCCTGCCCAGCAGCGGCTGCTTTGCCTATTTGAAGACCCGAACCTATGCATACCAAGTAGTTCTAAGTCCGGGGATATCCCCGTGTTGATTGGTGAGTGGAAATAGTTGTAATTTAAAAAAATATCTTATTATTTTGTGCATTGATGCGCTGCTAGGCTGTGATTTTTCTCCTCTGTAACTGCAAATAGCTGCCAAAATGGCTAGAATGGCACAGTAGCTTTGCTAGTATTAGCAACTGCTGCTAGCTTCGCTCTATTAGGTATCAACTCAGCCTGCAGATTAATCATCTTTGATAAGGATTATAACGTTAAATGAGATTAAACACGCACTGCAGGTCACGGGGCTTGGATATGGAGGTGGTGAAAGAAAAATAAACTCCACGACACGATGATGTTTATATTAGATGAACGCATGGGCTATTAATGAATGTAAAATGTAAACTAGGATGTAACAGTGTGAGCAAGCAACAGTGTGTCTGCTTTAAATGCATCTGTTAATGGTTTTAGATTGCATGCAGGATATTTTACTGTCACTGTTAAATGCTCATAACTGCATGCCACACCTTTTTAGATCTGATCAAACGTTTGGTCAAAACGTTTTTTTTTTTTTTTTTATAAATCGTTTTAATACATAGAATTTATACAAGATAAATAAAATGTAATAAAAAAACAAACAATTTATATAAAAAATAAATAAAAAACAAACCGCAACAAATAATCATGTCTCCCCAAGTCACAGGTCTAGTCCTATAGGAAACACCAGGAATATTTGATCTTTAAAACTCAAAGTTGAACAAATATGATAATCAGGGTGGAAACAATTAATCGTTATAATCAAATATTTAAATAATCATCAACTAATTTAGTAATGGAATAATCTCCTAAAACACGCCTTTAGCTGACAGAGTAACCCACCTTAAGCAGCAATTATACCAAAATAAATAAAAAATATGTTAACAGTTTGCATGCAAGATAAAAAAAACAACCTTTTTAATCTGTCAATATGCCCTATCCAGAACTCATCAAGTGGAAAAGTTTTTGTCTCACCTGGTTTAATTCTATAAAAAGTCCTCTTTAAGGAGCCTTTTGCTATCTGATTATTAATTGATTAATCGAAAAAATAATCAACAGATTAATCGATTTGCAAAAAAAAATTGCAGCCGTAATGATGATTATGAAAGAGATCAGAAAGATGAGATTTCAGCTCATTGAATTATTTGAAAATCACCAACAAAATAAGAAAAGAAGAGAATTAAATACAGGGGTAATACTGGAGATAGACATAGTTTTTTTTTTTTTTTTTTTCATGCAGATGAAGACAACAATTTTTATCTCAATCTAATTAATCCCTGTTATGTACTGCCAATTTTCCTTTTTTTTTTTTTTTTTGGGGAGGGCCTTTTTTTTTTTTTTTTTGGGGAGGGCCAGTTATTGAACCTGATATTGCTGTCTCTTTCTCCATTTATTAAATATTTTGAAAGTCTCAAAGAAAAATAACAAATCACAGCAAACATAGTTGATACAGATAGCAAATGATCTCAAGGCATGGCTGCTGAATGCACAAAAGAATTTGCGCATGCATGGCAGAATCAGCAACTAGAGAGTAAAAAAAAAAAAGCCAATATCAGCCAAAAATATCGTCCAGCTGATGTACCAGTCCAACTCTAGCTAATATGCCTACTCTGTCTCGTCCCTATTATTAGGTAGGCAGCAGGAGAAGATGGAGACTGGTCAATCCAACTATTACAGGACTTATAGGGGGGTAGTGAAAAAAACGAAAGCATAAATCCCACTTTCAGTTGCATTATGATAAAGAAAGCTTGTGAATAGAGTAGAAGATTCTTTATCATCAACCAGTGGTGAAATTCAGTTGCATCAACAGCAAGTAGAGGTTTGCAACAGAAGAAAAAAAGGCTGCACAGTTTTAAAAAACATAGCATGCTCAGATTAAATAAAATGTGTAGCTGAGTAGGAGGACTTGAGAGAGTACAAAATGTGCTTGTTGTGTCTTAAAAACAGCAACAGTCTAATTACATAAAATAGAGGGGAAAAAAGAACCTGCAAATAAAGGCAGTGATGTAAACATCTTATTGAGGTAAAATGCTAATTAGCCTCAAATGTTGCCAACTAATCAGAACTGCATTGACCTGTCTGTCAAAATTGAAATTCTCGCATATAGTCAGATGTTTCCTTATTTGCCACGGTGTATCACCTAAAGTCCTATTAAAGCGCAAGGAACTTTGTTGTTGTAATAGCAGAAAATGTTAAGAATCATGATTACATATGAAAGCCACTTTATTCACCAACATTTTATAACTTCGTCTTCTGAATTCTATGATTTCTCTATAGGTTATTATGAGCATGGAAGATTATGACTACCTGTTCAAAATAGTTCTCATAGGAAATGCTGGAGTTGGAAAGACATGTCTTGTCCGGCGCTTTACTCAGGTTTGTATATAACCATGGTTTTTGTAGATCTTATCAAAAACATGTCTGGGAATGTTTTCAATCTAAATATGTACTCAAATTATAGGGGCTTTTCCCACCTGGACAAGGGGCTACTATTGGAGTGGATTTCATGATTAAAACAGTGGAAATCAATGGGGAGAAGGTCAAGGTAAACACAAGCTACAAAAAGAACGCTCACATAAAGATTTCTTTAAAGCTGGCCAGTGATTCTGTGTCGTTTGCTCTGTTTCACAGTTGCAGATATGGGATACCGCTGGACAGGAGAGATTTCGCTCCATTACTCAGAGTTACTACCGTAGTGCCAATGCCCTCATTCTTACTTATGACATTACTTGTGAGGACTCCTTCAGGTGCCTTCCAGAGTGGCTGAAGGAGATTGAACAGTATGCCAACAACCAAGTGGTGACTATATTAGTCGGTAAGAAAGTCCTGCTTTCTGCTTTATAAATAAGATATGTTGTATCGTCTGCAGTGCACCAAATATTTGAAGGGCCCCTGTAAAAAAAATGACCTCAAATTTCCATTTAATAATTTATTACTGACTACACAAACTATTCGTAACCTTACTTCAACTTTTTAAAAAAAATGTATTAGCTGAATGTAGAACCCCATATTATTTTATTTTGGCTGTAAAGTCCTTATGGTTTAGATTAGTCTTGTCAAATTCTGACAAATTTGGGAACTATAATCTTATCCAAATAACTGAGCAACCTCCTACTAAATATAATTTCAGTGGATGTTGAGTGGTTATTTGGGTTGTCAACATAATCAATATCTCTGTTATGTAATATTAATATTCAGTGCCCACACTGTTATTTAATCATCAACCTTTCAGACTGCCATATGTTTTCTGTGTCTGGCTGTGTGTTAGAAAAAAACAAATGAAAGCTTGGATCGAGCTCAAATCATGGTCAAACTCTGCACAAATATGGAATAAATTCACAACAAACTCTACTCAAAATAGAAGAATGTATTAATAAAAATAATTTAACTAAATGTCAAACATATTTCAGTAAAAAAATATATAAACTTTACCAAACTAGTGAAACTCAACTAAGCCACTACGTACACAAAACGAAAGGAACTACAACTGGTTGAAAACTAAAATCAATAAATTGATGTAATATCACAGTTTGGTATGGATTTTATATTTGACAGTTTGGAATGTAGTCAAATTAGCTTTTAACTAATTTAGAGCAATAGGAATGTGTTCAAACAAATTCATGATGCAAATACAAGAGTTAAATACGAATTTATTTGGTAAAATAGTGTTTTTAAAAACAATTTGTTTAATCAGAAATAATAACCAGTAACTTTTTCTTTAATGGATTCATAACCTTCTATGATTGTTCCTGTCAAAATAGTTAAGGTAAAAACCTCCTAGCTTCTTTAACTAGGTTAGCTAATAGCTAGCAGACATAAGAGAACTCATTTAAAGTTTGCTCTTTGGTCATATTTTGGCAATCATATGCATTGAGTACATGAAAAAACACAGAAACATTATTTTTAGTGTTTATTCCAGTAGTGAAATACATTTATTTTAGCTTTATAACCAACTGTTAGCATCGGGTACCATGGAGTCACCATTAGCTTCTTGTTAGTTTGTTAGCTTGCTTTAGACAACGGTAAATGCATGAAATGATCTAAAGTCCAAATTATTTTATCGCTCTTAATGCTATTTTAAGGCTTTCCCTAACTTTGCCAGCCCTGTAACCTCTGTTGAAAAGGTGGAGAGTTTCCAAAGTTCATGAAAGCTTAGCATGTCAGCGGGTCAGCCCCTCCGCTCCGTGCAGCTTCACCACACCGTAATAATGCTGCTGGGTGTTTTAAAGTGTGCAAACATGTTCATGAAAATCAAAAATAAAAGCAAAAAAAAAGAAAAAGAAAAAGCAAACCCTTTTATTAACAAGACAAAAGAAAAGAATTTGGTTTGGAGAAACATTCCCTATAATGCAGATTAACAAGAAAAACAAACAAAATGCAGAGTGACACTACATGCTAAGCTAATGCCGCAGGGCTGTTGTTTTAAAGCAATGTAAAAAGGGGAGTAAAGCTCTGGTTTCTACAGCAGTGAACCTTCCAGACAATAGCCAATGCTACCTGTCTATGGAAACAAACAGCCCAAAGTTTGGGTTCTATTGGTCACCTTACTAGGAGCACTGCAGCAGGAATCAACTTAGGAAAGTATTAAACAGCTGACAGCCAAGTCAGATAATAAACAGAGAACCATCAACACAAACTAGCACACTAAATGGCTCTCCTTCGTTCAGTTGTAAATCTATGGCTACGTTCACACCACAGCCTGAAGTGACCTAAATACGATTTTTTTTTTAGCCCATATGCGACCTGGATCTGATCTTTTCATGACAGTCTGAACAACACAGATCCGATTTTTTTCCAATGCGACCCAGGCCGCTTAGCTATGTGCTCCTGAATTCGATACGAATCTGATCTTTTCATATGCGACCTGTGTCTAAACGACCAGGTCGCATCCATCCGACCTGAACACCATTAATACACGACAGTTGTCACTCTTCTGCATCTTGCTACGCAGAAACGGCAAGAACAACAATAGTGGACGATAATGCGGAGAGTAGTATTTATGTTTAACCATCTTGGAAAGATAAGAGTTTTTAATTTTGGGAAAGATCCCTAGATGTTCTCCAGCACTACCATCCATGCTTACTTCCATAAACACAGAGCATGCTTGCTTGTGACGTCATTGCGTCCTCTACTGCGCATGCGGGACACTTAGGTTGTATGAATGCATTTCACACAGGAGATCACATACAAGTCGCATATATTTTGAGATGTGAACGGCAATGCAAAAAAATCGGATTTAACAAAAACATTGGAATGGAGCAACAAGGCCTGCAGTGGGAACGTAGCCTATTTGAGGCTAATTTGGTTTAAAAATGACAGGTAGTAATACATGGTCTACTGTTTACTAAAGGTGTATATTTATTTAAAATACATACATTTTAAAATAGGTTAACTGACGTTTATGGAGGGCCAAAACTGACAAAAAAAATACAATGAAAGGAGTAACCCTACCCTAACCCTAACCCTACCTACCCTAATTGCAGTGGTGCATGCAACCAATTTATGGAAATCTTAGTCCTGGCCCATGTACCTTTGCCTGGATACTTTTAAAAATAAAGGTCACTAGTTCCTATTATGTATTCCAACAAATAAATAAATAAATACCAATTAATAAAAAAAGAATTAAAGAGAACTTTATGTAAATATGCTCTTTTTAAAATATTCAATGCATTTATCATGTTTTATGATTCAGTTGATCTAAATATTTTTTTCTATATGTATTTCCAGAATATCCAGAATATAAATTCAGGCATTGACTCAAATTCAGGCAACATTGAAGTAATCTATTTGCTTTTATTTTTATTTCTCTTAGTTTTGATCTTACAGAGCCTTCTGTGTTTTGCCCTTATTATAAAAAAAATGAAGTTAGATTTATCATGGTGCTAATAATATATATTATCTCTTGACCAGAAATAACCTTTGTCCTGAAAGAACTATATATTTTACATTAGTAATCGGTGCTGAATATTGTCTTTGTCTTGGTGATTTCTAGGAAATGTAATTTCTCAGAAGAGCGACTATTTTTCTAGAATAAAGCCCTCCCACTCAGTCTTCATCCCCCACTCACAAGCACACACACACACACCTCAATGCTCATCTTTTCATTACACACAGCCCTGATAGGGTGCTGCTCACATTAACATTTAGGCTGGATGATTTTTGTATTTATTTTCTGCTCATTCTCTTTAGGTAATAAAATAGATCTGGTAGACAAGAGAGAGGTTCTCAGGCAGCGGGCTGAAGACTTCGCTCAGGCGCAGAGCATGCTGTATCTGGAGACATCGGCCAAAGAGTCCGACAACGTCGAGAAACTCTTCCTCGACCTGGCGTGCGAACTCATTCGAGAAGCCAAGCAGAACAAGCTCGACAACAATGACACTGCCCCGATGCCCGGCGAGGGTAAAACCATCAGTTATTTGAACTGCTGCAGTCTCAATTAAAGGAAGCTCAGCTGCCTGGCCTCAGTAACTCGGTAGCCACTGACTGTAGAGCGTAGATGGCTGAGCCCCAATGCCTCCGTCCTACTAAGATGGCATAAAGCCAATGCTTAGTTTGGTCATGTTTTTTTCCCCATGCCTTTTATAAGCATTACAAAGGAGCTACTTAGTTTTATTTTTTAAAGTGCTATCATAAGAATCCTACTGAGCCCCTAAATGGACAATGAAGAGAGAGAGAAAAAACAAACAAACAAAACATTCTTGTGTGTACCAGTTATAGTTCTCGTGCACATCAAATACTTTCTCATGTCAGACGGACCTCTTCTTTTTTTAACTGTAATCCATTTTACAGACATTTTGTGAACATCCATCTATATCTGTTCTGTGGACAAGTCTTTTGCTGTTGCGTTTGAATAAATGTCACAACGTTATAAAGGTTTAATGTATCCTTTGTGCCGAAATAGACCATAGGACTTGAATTTTTAAGTGACGTTCAGACAAAACACAATGGTGACGTCTTGCAAGCAATGCAGCAATGTCTTTGTATGGTAGCCCAAACTGAAAATATAGCCTAATTAGTTCATGTTCATCCACTTTAATGAACACGGTCGTCAGAAACACTCATGCAATCATTCAAGAAAGTATCTGGTGCGCACGAGAAACTAACTGGTGCGCACAGGAAAGTATCTGATGTGCACTTTTTTTTTCTCTCCCTCTCTCTTCAGTGTCCCTTCAGTAGAAAACTCACTGAATCAGGATGAACAAGTGCATGTCAAAAAGTTACAATATATTCAAAAAAGTTCATTAATCCTACCAAATCAGTTAAAAAAGGGAAACTTACAAGTTACATAGACTGAGATAGGTTGCACACAGAGTAATGTTTTGTTTCTGCATATTGTCATTTTCTTGGGTCAACTTTCACTATAATTACCCCATGGATTCTGAGTGAGGTTACAGTAGGGTAGGCCTGTTTGCTTCCCAATCAAGCATGGTGACACCAAGGTCATTTAAATGGGTATTGGTGCTTTTTTTTTATCTATACAGGTTTCAAGTTTTATTGGAAAATGAAATTTGCATCTCAAACCTTGACAGAAGGAATAATCTTAAAATGCAAAGAGAAGAACAACACCAGGAGAGAAAGCAAAAAAAGAAACTTGGGTTATATTCTTCTCTGTTCTTCTTCCCTCACAGTCTGAAATCCTGACTTCCACTTTTCCTTCCACCAAAACTTCCATTGATATGGTTGAAAAGCTCACTTTGTGAACCAGCTTCTTCAGTGGTTTCTTTTGGTCCCTTACCCTAATTCTGAAAATTGACTGCTTGATAACTGAGTTTTTGGTCTTTTCAATGAATAACATGGAGATGCTAATCATGATATTTCCATATAAAAAAAAAAAAAACTAAAAATTTTTACAAGTAGCTTTTAGTTTTCTAGATAACAGATTTTTTTTTTTTATTCTTGCCTTTTAGTGATAATTAAAACTGAGAATTTAAGCTTGAAATATAACCCCCCATGTCTAAAGAATCTATGTAACTTCTGAGTTTCACTTTTTAAACTTAATTATAGTAGCAATTATTGTACTTTTTATCATATTCTGATTTCTTGAAATGCACTCATGTTGGACTGATTATTCCTGTAATAAAAGCAGGGCTTCATTTTATCCTTATACTGGTGAAATAGCTAGACTTTCCTGCTCGGACATTGGGACCTGTTTTTCAGTATCAGTATTCACCAGCAGTATTATGAAGGCAAAAATCTCTGCCAGGTATGTTGCTATTGTTACAAATCAGCTGATAAGTTTTCTGGTCATTTGAGGTTATAACTAACATGTTTACATACACTTCATTTTGGAGATCACTAGAGTTGATCATGTGGCAAAAAAAAGAATCTTTAAAAAATGTAACGTAAAATCTGTTGCACCTTTTATCGTCCCTCACATCCTCTCCTGCTCTGAGAATCACATTGAATGATAGCTTTGTCATTCGAATATGTTTTGCACCTGTCATTACAAACTGTGAAGCATTTGTTTTTCCCATTTTTGACTTTTTATTGCTGCTAGAACAGGTTTTTATGTCATAAAAAGCAAAAACATATAAAACAAAGTATTGTGTGTTGCTATTAATATATTTTTTTTAGTATATTGGCAGTTTTAGTGATTGCAGATTCAGTTTAAAGCAGTTGGAAAGCCTTTTATCTGTGAAACTTTTAAGTAGAAAATATACTTTATGACTGTCAGCTGTTTTTTTTTCCATTAACATACAGAATATTCCTGCATATGTCGGTGCTGGTCATGAAATAGTTTGAAGAGGTATGTCCATGTAGCTTTATATAACTTGTATTCATATTATGCTTTCTGTGAATTTCTTTCGTTGTTCAGCATGGTAGTGTCTAAATTAATCTCTCATTATTTCGCCCTAACTGCAGGCTGCTGTGTTGCACAATGCCATATACTGCACACTTTTAGGTTCTTTTTTTTAATTGTAACATTAGTGTTTCCTTGTACAGATTTATTACTGTAGTGCATCCCAGGATTTTTTTTTCATGATTTTGTACTTTAATTTTATTTTTCAGTTGCTAGAAGTGCCAGAATTTTGTTGTTCTTTGTACTTAAGGTTTGAAAGGAGATCCTGGAAGTTAATTCTTTGCGACTTCACGTCAATTTTAATGAGATTTACAACTGAAAGGCTTTTTGAATTGATGTGCTTTTTTTCTTTTGAGTATAGAAATAATCCCTTAAATACTGTGTATAACATTAAACAGCTACACTAATTATTGTATGTTTGCTGTATGTTATTTTGCTATTAATGAGGCTAGATTTTCTTATAATTAAAAGAAAATAATAATTTTCCTGTTTCCCTTTTACAATTTTTTTTTGTCAAAACGTGAAGAAAAATGAAAGATGCAGCCACTGCAAATCTTGCCAGAACTAATCAAATATAGAACACATATGGGACAAAAAAAGTTCTATCCATCCATCAATCTTGCACTTATCCGGGGTCGGGTCCCAGGGGTAGCAGCTTCAGTAGGGAGCCCAGCCGAGGGAGGACTTGGCCCAAGTTGCTGGTTGTCCTAGTTCTCCCTCTGGGTCTCCTGCCGGTGGGACGTGTCCGGAACATCTCACCATGGAAGCATCCAGGAGGCATCCTAACCAGATGCCCTAGACATCTCAACAGGTTCCTCTCCAAGTTGAGGAGCAGCAGCTCTACTCTGAGACTCCGGATGACTGAGCTCCTGACCCTATCTCTAAGGGAGAGCCCAGACAAACTACGGAGAAAACCCATTTCAGTCGCTTGTATCCGGGATCTCGTTTTGTCATGACCCAAAGATCAGGACAGGAATGACCATAGATGAGGGTAGGAATGCTTCACAGCAGACGCATCAATCCGCCTGTCGATCTCCCCCTCCATCTTCCCTTCATTCGTGAACAAGACCATCTGATACTCAGCTGAAGCTGGCTCTAGGGACTTCGAATTTAACAAGCAAAATATTATCTCACAATCAGTTAATCTATTTGTTTTTCCTCACCTTTACCCCAATCTGCTCTATTTATTTGTGCAGACATCTGTATGTCCATCAAGCCATTCATCTTTCCACCTGTATTTCTGTCCATCTGTCTAACCATGCATCAATCTGTTTCATCATACCGTCTTACCTGCTTGTCTGCTTGCTGCATTATTTCTTACGTCTGCAGAAACTGTAAAAACAAAAAACTTTAACCCTCTCAAAACTTCAGCTCTGGATTGTAAGTTCTTGCGGTTTGTTCAGATCACATGGGCAAAGCTTTTCCTACATGGTGTGTCCAAAAAGTGTGATCAGTCAGAAATTTTAAGTATCCCAAGTTTAAACATTGCAAGTCTTATAAATACTCTAGTAGGAATGAGTGCTTCCCTGGAATATCTTTTTCTGGGTAAAGTGGGTACAGTAGAACATTATTCTGTTTTTTTTTTTTTTTTTTTTTTTTTTTGCAGAATACTCAAAAGTCTGTTGAATAAACTTAAGTTTTATTTTTTTCCTGCTTTATAAATTTGATAAAAGATCTCGGCTACATGTAATCTGGAAAAGTTTGGAACTTAAACATGAAAAACGTATCAGACTAAGTTATTTAGCATTGTACGGTATGGGCAGCTTTAGTACTTGAGTCAACATTCAAAATTCAGATAAACCTCAAACTCCCATCAACCATTGCGTTAGAGACGACCAGTGTCAGCGTCTTCTGTTTGAAGGCGCATCAGCCATCTTGTGAGTGGCATTTTGTAAGCCCCAATCAAAGCTTTCTTCAGTGTTTGGAAACTTTGTTCTCCAAGGAAAAAGAATAATACTTTTTTTACTCTCACCTATTTTGAATAAACCGTTTTAATATATCTTTGAACCAAACTATGTTAAAGCAACCAATGGGTAATGCAAACTGTATGCATACATATGCTAAAATCTAATCTTATTTGTCTCCAAAATTTCTTGAATTCATTCAAATAATATGTACAATGAACGTTTTTCAAAAATATCATTCTACAGGGCGAAGATAAAACTAAAAATTACTCAGTGTTAAAAGCAAAAATATAACTAAAGTTAGCATAAAAGAAAATATAAATAATAAAAGATAATTTTATTATAGTTATATAGTCAAAACTAAACAGTATTTAGTACTTCAGTCATTTTACATTTGCATATCAAATATATTATTTATACTATTAAGGCCTTCTTTCTTTCTTTTTTCCTTCCTTTCTTTGTTTTCTCTAGGCCCTATTCCCCTTCCCAGCTTCTTTTCCTCAAGCCAGACATAATGACTCATTTTACATAATAATGATAATAATGATGAGGATGATGACAATGTCATTAATCATCATCATGAAAACTATAATGTTTAGCCTATTAGCTAAAAAAAAATATGGAATTGACATGAACTGATAAAGAAGTCTGGTAAAAAAAAAAAAAGTACATTTGTTAATACTCATTCCTTCATGAATCATATTATATGAAACAGAGAAACATCAAAGCAGGCCAAGAGCACAGCTTTTACCTATTGGAATATTATTTCTTAAAGTGTTTTTTATGCCTCCCAAAAACAAAACAAAAATAAATAAAACAAGCACCCCAAAATTTGTACACTTTGAGAATGTTTGTGTACAACTAGCGACTATATATTGTTGGGAAATAATGTAAAAACAAAACCATAAATAAATGCCCCTCACAAGATGGCGGCTGCGTTGACGTACGTCACTGACGCTCAAGCGGCGTTCAGCTACAAACCAGCCATCTGCTTTGTTTACCTCCCTAGCTGCTTGCCTTACAGAGATAAATCAAAAGTTTGGAACATTTTCCAAGTCTTTTACATCTAATATTCGCTCTGTAGAGGCGGGTTTCAGAATCTGCTCTCAAACTAAATCCAAGTTGACAAGCTAAATGGCAACACCTCCCTGGACCTGCTGACAGAGCGAATCTCACTTCCTCTCCTCTCCAGGGCGAGTAGACTTAATGCAACTGCAGCAGACATCATGCGGTGATCATCTGCAGAAGTACAGCACAGCGAGGGTTTTACACTGGAGCTGCATGATGGCTGGAGGCAGGAGTTTGGACACAATCGCTGCTACCTGTGTCATAACTTTGTGTTTGACTTGTTTGCACGTGACCTCATTAAAGTCACAACTTTTCACCAGACTTGGAGGGCAGCGCAGCACCACGGAGCCCCCAATCAGCTATAAAACATTATACTTCGCTCAAAAGGTGAGAGAAAGAAAAAACAACCATTTTTTTTTTATTATTTTTTTATTTCTTTGATATATGCAACCTTATTCATTAAGTTCTTAATTTGCTTCCGCCTTTATTATTTCTTTCACTTCCCCATTACTGCATGATTCACACCTTTGGTAGTCAAAGAAAAACAAAAATGTTACCTGTATTTTTAATAAGTGTTGCGTGTAATTGAACTTGAGCATCCAGTGTAGTTATCATTTTAAAATTAGTATTATATATTGTTTGTGGTAAGCAACATTAAACATAAATCAATGTGCTATTAAATGTCATGTATTATTGTTAATAATCAATATAATTGGCCCTAGAATGGATCTTTGAGGTAGTCCACGTGCTTTTTTTATTGCTTGGATAAGTTAAGTCTATATTGGTACTTCCAGTATACTTGGAGAAATATCCAAGGACCTCACACTATGCAGTGCAAAAATGGATTATACTGTGTATTAATTAAGCTTTCTATTAAGTCTTAAAAATTATTGAAATGGATTGTAACCTGTACATGTTATTCATAAAAGAGTCCAGATTAAATCCCAAAAAGTACATACATTACCACTTTTTTAGGTTTAAAAAGCAAAAAGAAGGTATAATATAAAGAATCAATCATTAATGTCCAGATTTAACTAGTCTAAGCATTATATATTGATTGACTGATTGACTTTATTGATCTCACAATGGAGAAATTGACTTGTTATATCAGCTCAAATAGTCAAAGAAGAAGAATGTGCCAAAGGAAGAAAAAGCTGCATGGGATGTATACAGTATATACAGCGTATCCATTTTTAAAAAATAGGATCATATAGATGGATATTTATATAAATAGCTATTGTACGGGTTGTCAAATATAGAGAAACAGGTTTTTGCACAGGGGATCAAATGGTACATTGCACATTATACATTGCACAAGTTATTGCAATTGTAGTGTCGTGATGTAGAGTCTGGTTGTAGCAGGGATGAATGACCTGTGGTAGCGCTCCTTTTTGCAAACAGGGTGTAAAAGTCTTTTACTAAAGAAGCTGCTCAGCTCCTCTACAGACTGGTGCTGAGGTTGGAAGTTGTTGTCCATGATGGATGTAAGCTTGGACAGCAATCTTAGTCTAAAGGGAAAAAGGGGTTTGCTAGTTTTACTTAATTTCCAGAACAGAAGATAAAATCTAGTTAGGAATACCAACAAAGTTTACATTTTCTGAAATGGAAAATGTGTTATAGCCCTGATTCTATCTGTGCAGCGTTTCTATCTTTTATGGATTTATTCATTACTTGGTTTTATTGTCCACAGTTTCCTAAGAGGAAAAAAAAAAAAAAAAAGACCACTTGCTCTTTATAAAATGCCCACTTTACCTGAAACCTAAAGAGGTTCATGTTGTGTGTCTACAAACAATGGGTGTTTCCATCTGACTTCCTGTAGTGAAGGGAAAGCCATCACAATTGGCTCTGTTCCTGCCAGCAGAACCGGAATCCTCCTACCTGGCTTTCTGCCTAAAGAGGTCTCCAGGGCCCAGTGAAAATAAAACGATTTACTCCTCTGGGTGGTTTGAAAGATCTTCATTCAGCCTGCACGTTTTCTTTGTATCGTTACTTCGTAGAGATTCGGATTACATGTCGGATTATGTGCAGTGGTACACGGCCCATCTTGTTGTAGTCAAAACAAGAAGCATCTGGGTGCAGTGCAAATGTACATCATGCCTCATCTTCAGAGACAACGGTACTAAAAAGAGATGAAAAAAAGAATTTACATTTTTTTTCACAATTTGCCAATAGTTTTCAATTTGTAATTTATATTTTAATCCTTTGTTGATCATGTGTGTTGTTATATTGGCTATTATCAATATAAAAACACACACGATCAATCACTATGAGATTCTATAGGCCTGATAGTGATGGCTCAAAGATACTGCAAATTATCTCATTTGTTATTTACAAAACTCTTCTCTTCTTTTGTTTTTGAACCCCTGTAAATTAAGCAGTTAATTATTAAAGAAATGTAAATGATTTTTTTATTTAAAAAAAAACAAGAACAGCTCTTTCAACCCTAACATTTGAAAGAGAATAAGCTCTGACTTACTGTTATGTTAGATTGCTAAATCATTTATTAATTTGTTGTAACTATCAAGGAGCTTAGAGTCGCCTTTCTGTTGTGATTAATTATTAAATGTTTTGATCAGCATCAGAGGTGGGATGACATTGGGGGTGGAGTGCTTTGACACTAATTTGCCTAATAATTCAAAGCAGATATCCAGTAATCAGAGTCTGCATACTAAAGTGTCTCCTGCAAGATACTGTTAGGGCTAGTGCATAAATATTTCCACCTTAGACACCAATCTCGGGATTCGTTTTCAACAAATTGTTAAACTGTGATTTTAAAAATATTGCAAATAGTTAATCCAGCATGGCAAATGGAATTGGACTATTCAAAAGAAAGAAAAAAAAACAATTTCCTGTTATATCATGAGTCTCACTTCTGCTTCTCTAAAATGTGCTGCAAAAATAAGCAGCCAATATGAATCTAAAACATAAATTGATCTTTTTTAGAAGCTTCTTTACATCCGTTTCCTCTGACTGTATTTTTGAATACCTGATTGATATTGAAAATAGCTAAATTTGAATCCCTTTCCCCCAGTAATGACTGCCACTCTTAAAAGTGGTGTCAGCGTTTTCAATGATGGTGGTCATTTCCATAATCAACTGATCTCAGTCATGAGTAAATTTCTCTGTACATCTAGTTTATGTACTTATAGTACACTTGTATAGTTCTGATTTCTGAACGAAAAAGTATCTAAAAATGAGTATCATGCTTTTGTTTGTACATGACACCATTGTTTTAGACATTTTAGTCCTTATTTGCCATCAGGAAACGGAGACGTCTGTGTTGCTATGCAAACTGATGAAACCAGGGAAATAATGTGCCTTCTGGTAGTAAAGGACAGTTATGATAAAGCCTCTGCTCTCAACAATGTTTTGATGTGTAGACAATGCTCCACACCTGTTCCTGCCCACAGCATCCTGTCCAATCAACCGTGCTGACAAGAAGATAAAGACCATTTCCTCCCTTTTAACGACCCCCCCTTCCCACCCTTATTGTCTCGTCTCATGTAAGCTCTCGTTTGCCAATCGGTGAGAATTGTACGCTCCTTAAAGAAACGTTAAAAAAATAAAACCGTTGTGAATTACTTTGCAATACCTATATTAGCTCTTCTGTTATCTGAAATTTAATAACTTCTCCCCAAACCCTTTCTAATTTCACCCAACTTAATTAATAAAGCACCAAAAAAAAAAAAGCAGGCCAAGGTGCTGTATGGGTTAGAAGCAAATAGACACAAACTAAATGAAATAAAAATGATGAAACTATCTTAAAACAGACACCACGCTGTGTATTAAGAGTTTCCACAAAAAGGGGGGGGGGGGGGGCTTTTAAAGAAGATTTAAAAACCATCAGGGATGTCGCCTGTTTTCCACACGTTGTAGTCCAGGCCGTTGTGAAGGCAGCGCCAAACGGTTCAGCGTTGTCATCAGGAAATCCTTTTGACTCCAGTCTGTCTCTAGACAATGAATGGAAGTGTCCTTTAGCATCCTACAACTAAACTGCTGCAACTGGTCTGATTATTGGACTCTGTGTGCTTAAAAACCAAATGTAGGTTCAGGACATTTTCTGCAAGTTAAGGCTTTTTTTCCTTTATTTCCTAACAGAAGTGTATTTTTTTTTTTTTTGCTTGAGTAACAAAGATAAATATGAATATGAGGAGGAAGGGAATGTACTCTAAAAGCCCTAAATTATATCCATTGCTCCTGGACCCTTTAAATAATGGAGAGTTCACCTCTTCTTTCTACAAAGACTCAGTTGTTCTGGGAAGGCTGAAGAGTTTAGACATTAGTTGAAAAGCAGCATAATGAAGACCAGCAGACACAGCAGACAGAACAACTGTCAGCAAATCTAAACTTTATGGAATAATGACATTGTGGAGAAGTTTGTCATAAGCTATGGAGGGACACATCAAACATGAAAGAACATACTCAGATAGGATTAGACCAAAACTGGACTTACTGGCCTACAAACAAAAAAAACCCCATTGGTTATAAACTAAGATTACCATGAACATAGCATCCCTCAGATAACAGAAGTTTGAGAAGGGTCTAGGAATTATGTGTGTGTTCATGTTCTTAAATAAACTGCCGAATTTAACATGGAATGGTTCAAGTCAAAACCCATTCATGTGTTATAATTACCCAATTAAAGTCTAGACCTTAATCTGATTAAAAAGGCAAGACTTAAGGGATGATAATCCTTAATACTGTCTGTCCAATCAGACTGAGCCTGAGCTATTTGCCAAAGAATTATTTCATTCTCTACATGTGAAAAGCAGGCAAAGACAAACCCCAAAGAAATTGGATATTAAACTGTACGTATAATTTTGAAAACTTTAATTCATATTTATTTAACAGTTGTGCTTTAATTTTTGATTGTGTATCATATGAAAAATTAATATATTAAAGACATGTCTAAGAACAATACCATTCCAAAGCAGAGTGTAAGGTACGGAAGAGGATAAGAGCCACTGAAAAAAAAAGTTAACTGATTTTTTTTTTTTTATTTCAGTTTAATATGGGAAAAAA